AAGGTTGGAAGAAAGTACTTTGCAAACTATAGTGTTATGCAAATAGGAGCTCTGCTAATGATGATTTTTACAGAAACCCATGTTCCAGATGTGGGCTGACCAACACAGAGTCCAATGGGACAGTGATTCCCTGCAGGTACTTTTTGTGATAGCTTGGATACATTGTTCTACCAGCCTAGGAACTCCTCCTGCAAAGGAAATGAGTTTGGCTTTATTGGGCTCATTTTTACTAAAAGATGCTACCTCCTACTGCCCATTTCATTATTTTTTCTGCATCAGACGATGGTAATAATCAAAGAAATGCTGCTTTTTCCCCCTCTCTACCTTAGAAACACAAATTCTAGAAGAACCAAGATCTCCCAATTATGGATTTGAAAAGTGGTACTATTTCAAATCTGTGTACAATCAGTGATTTTCAAGTGCACCTCTCAAGCAATGAAATGATGGCCCTGGATGGGTCCTGTTACTATGACGACTATTTACTTACCAATATCAGAAAGGATGGTTCTGGATTTTCACTATTCTCCTTTAAGATTGCCTGATTCAATATCAGGTCTTTCCAAAGAAGCAGAAACTAACCCCCAGGTTAAGTTCAACAGCCTGCAGTGTAATTTAACATAGATTAACTAAAACTCAACAGTATTAATGGAGTATCACTTTGCCAGTCATTTTTCATTGTGTTGCAATGACTTGAGTTTTAATATTTCATTGATGTTTAGTCCAATGAATTAAATGAAAAATTAAAAATGGATGAGCCATCACCTCCCTCATCTGCTTTAGGTATTTCTGGCATTTTAGCAAGCAGAACTATCCATATTTTGTTTGGTTTGGTTTATTTACTTATAAGGCTACTCTGTATTCATCTCTTATGTTTGGAAAACTGCTTTTCTTTATTTTTATTTTCTTTCTTTCTTTAGAATACTATAGTCTATTAACTTTGGAACATGCTAGAGACCCTTCTTTATTGAAATGTTCAACTAATTTGTCCCTGTATGTAAGAAGAAGTTCAATGGTAGAATTGAAAGAGGGCTGGATTTGGTGTCACAGACCCTCAGTTTACAACCTGGCTTTCTGATGTGACCTTGGGAAGTCAAATAACCTCCCTGGAACTCAGATTCCTCATTTGCAAACAGAAGACATTGGACTAGAAATCAGGGGTGGGGAACCTGCGGCCTCGAGGCCATATGTAGTCCTCTAGGTCCTCAAGTGTGGCCCTTTGACTGAATACAAACTTCACAGAAAAAAAATCTCCTTAATAAAAGGATTTGTTCTGTGAAGTTTGGATTCTAGCAAAAGACTGCACTTGAGGACCTAGAAGGCCACATGTGGCCTCAAGGCTGCAGGTTCCCCACCCCTGGACTAGATGAACTCTAGGGTCACTCCAACTCAATTATCCAAGATCCTATAAAAAATAAGAATTGCATCATGTTCATAGAGCTGGAAGGGTTATCAGAAGCCATTGAATCCAATGTCATCATTTCACATGTGAAAATTTAGAGCCTAGGGGAGCCAAGTGACCAAGGTCAAATATGTAGTCATTATCAGAGACAAGATTTGAGAACAAGTCTTTGGACTCCAGAGTCAGTGGTCTTTCCAATGTACCAAATGTTTCTCTACCTGTGAACTGAAAGAGCCCCCAGCACACTCCAAGGATTAATCTGATAGCATATGATGCATATAATTTTTCCCAAAAAAACAATATGGGGAATTACATTTTCCCATGCCATTACATCCTATTCCTTAGTTCACTGACCTTTGGTTGATTTCAAGGTCTATGATAAATTGCTTACTGTATGAATCCCCATCTGTTTGTTTTGTTTTGTTTGTCCACTAGTAACCCTCTCTCTTTCAATTCAGGGAATAATAGCACCTCAAATTTACATAAGATCTTAAGCCATTTTGTTGCAACACAAACAACCTTGTGAAATAGGCAGTGCAAATATTTTTATTCCCATTTTACAAAATAACAAAATTTACCAGTGGCTACAAACATAATAAGTGGTAAAAAGCCAAGATTTAGAATTATACAGACAACTGATTAAGAAAGATTATTACATCTATATATTTTAATCAATAGGTATTTTCATTGATTATTTTCTTTTTTTTTACATTTCTGCAAACTTAGTTTTAGACTTATAAAAAAAAAAAACCTCCAAAAAAGACTTTCTTGATAACAAAGCATGGATTTAACTCCGTAGCAGAGAGCTTTGTTGTATATTGTGAAGACATAAAGGGTAGACTTACAGAACACTTTTCAAAGTGGGATAAATTCCTACTAATGTGAAGAGGAAAATGACAAGCTCCATCAGTATATAATGACTTAGAAATCAAAGCCAAAATCCCCTGGTAAAGTGACCTCAAGAAGAAGCAGCGCTGTCTTTTATTGCCAACAATTGCAGCAGGGGACTCACTCACTTTTAAAAGGATGAAAACTAAGTAAAGGAGCACCATTGAGACGCAAGTCCTATGTGTTTGTATTTCTGTATATCCTTGGAGGTATAAATGAAGGTGGGGCAAAGCTTCAGGTGTCAACTCCTGACAGATTGTGTGTGTGCTAAAAACCAGCCTAGTAAAGTTCTAAAAAGCTCCTCACAGAAACCTAGAATCACAGACTTCAGCTGGGAGGGTCCTCCGAAGGGATCCAGTCCAGTGTCCTCTTTTTACAGATAAGGAAACTAAGGCCCAGAGAGGCTAATTTTGCCCATAGTAACACAGGAAGTAAGTGACAGAGACATATGTAATTGGAACCTGGTCTTCTGATGCTAAATCAGGTCTCATTCTACCGCACCTTAGTTGACCACAAAGAAATGAGCATTGTCAGTCACCAGCCCTCTTATTAAAGAGAATCCACTAACGTATGGACAGGTTAATATTTGCAACATCATTCCTAGGAAGTCAAAATTCTTAAATATTCAAGTATTTCATAAGACTACACATATACATGTGTGTATATATGTATTATATACATACATGTACATGTATCTCTCTATTTAAATAGATATTTGTGAAAATCATAAATAACATGTGCACCGGTTACAAACCTTAAAGTGTAACATGTTAGTTATTATTATTAATAATATATCATGATGACATGATATATTGAAATTTTATGCATGTTAATATATTATAGCAAATTGATGTGATTTATTACTACTATGTTATTGTAATTATATTAATAACATTAGCTTTGTTTTATATAGTGTTTCAGGGTTTGCAAAGCATCATATCAGCCCTGGGAGATGGAGCACTTTTATTGTCCCCATTTTACTGGGGAGAAAACTGAGGCAGACAGAGGTTAAGTAACTTGCCTAGGGTCAAACAGCTGTGTCTAAAGGCAGATTTTAACTCTGATCTACCTCACTGGAAGTCCAATACTCTATCCACTGTGTCTTATTATTATATACTAGAAATGTTTCTTTATCTGTTCATATGTTTCATTTAGTTGCATTTCTATTTGATCCATTAGAATATAATTCCTTTGAAAGCAAGATCTACATCCTAACTATATATTTTCAATGCCTAGCACATAAATAAGGAATGAGAGGGAAAAGGAATATAAGTATATGGCACCTACTATATGTCAGGAACTATGTTAAGCACTTTACAATTATCTCTTTTGATCCTCACAACAACCCTGAGAGGTAGGTGGAGTTATTATAAAAGTAATCAAGAAATACTTGCGGAATTAAATAAAGCCACCTTTACTGATATCGCTCTTTAACCCACAGAAGATGTAACTAAAGCATTTTTTAAAAATCCAAATAGAATGTCTATGTTTTATTTCACCTTTTCCACCCTAAAAAAAAAAACTTACTAGGTCAGATCCCCTGAAAAAATCATTGCAAGGTCAATAAGAATCATCAATGGTCTACTGCAGCCAAGGAAACTCATGTGATTTGGATTCCATTATTTTCCTGGACCAGGAGGCTGAACATCCCATTTTGTTCTGCCCTCAGAAGATCACACTGGAAATTATGTGTTTAGTTCTGTAGGCCATCACTCAATAGCAAATTCCCAATTGTTGGGGTTCTTCGAATGGAGCCTGAATGGCCGCTTGGTGGAAACATTGGAATCAATGACGTCAGAGTTTCATTGCCATTTGACATTCTGACTTACCAAAAAACACATGTCAGTAACTGTCAGAGCCAAATTGCAAATTCAGAGCTTCTAACTACCTCCAAGCATCCTTTCTGTTATATCAAGTTGTAAAGTATAGCCACCTAATTGCAAGATTTTTGTTCCCAAACTCCCCCTCCCCCATGATTATAATAACTGCAAAATAGTATTTTAAGATTCGCAAAGCAGCTTACATGTTACCTCATTTAATTAATGGCATGGAACACATTGTTTTGAAACAAACGCTGGAAGGGCAGAATCAGTCGAAATATCAAGAAGCCATAAATTTATTTCTCCCCCCCCCCCCAAGTATTGGTTTCCTGCCATCAAGATGTAACCAATGGCAATGTGGTTTAGTGGACAAACAGTAGGCTTCAGGGTCAGGAAATCTTCATTTAAGCCCTGCCTATGCTACATGCTAGCCACACAAGCCAGGGCAAATCATGGAACCTCTCAGTGCTCTAGGCAACCTTATTATACAACTCTCTCAGTTTTGGAGAAAGAGTTAACCCATATTGGTGAAGGTAAAAATCACAGAACAGGTTCCTATGCTATCCATTAGGCAGCTCTCTAAAATGATAAGTTTCAGAGAAAGAGCCAACTCACACTGGTAGAGGGAGTTGCCTCAGCCAAGAGACCTCTGCGGCACTTAAATCATATGTCCAATCCCTATTCCTATCCCCTAGACACAACCAAATACCACACTACCCGAAGAAAGGGAAAGATTGAGTAGGGACCCACTAAACACAAAACACATAGATGGCCAATCTTGGTAATTTAGATCTCATGTTAATAGGTCCATGGTAGACATTGGGATAGAAATACGGTACAGGGAAGATGGAGTGACCTCAGTGCAGAAATGTAAGAATCCTATTTTGACTTACTTTATCTTTGGAGAAGCTGAAAAGTTGTTTTCGGTCAGTGAAGAACTGCACCGCTATTACACTGGCTGAATGACCCCACAGTACCCCAGTGGGTTTAGAGACAACATAAGGATTCCAAAGGCAAACTCTATGATTGAGTCCAGCTGTGGCTGTTCAGAATTTCACAGGAAAAAAAAATTAGTTTTAGAAAATTAATAATCTATAACACATCATTCTTAGAAGTAGTAACTTGTCACCTCTCTCTAATCAGGGCTTCATAACCTGGATCCGTGAACTAGCATTTACTAAGCCTTTACTACGTGCCAAGGACTGTGCTTGTCTGTGGGCCTATGAATACGGTCTTTTTTTTTTTTTAGTTCAAAAACTATATTTCAAAGCAATTGGTTTCCTTTGTAATCCCATGAGTACCTTTTTGCATCAAGAAACATTACTCTGAGAATGGGTCCAGAGGCTCCCCCAGGTTACTGAAGTTTTATGAGACACACACAAAGGTTACCCCTGCTGTAAGCTGACTCTTAGGCAGCATGGTGGGGAGCAAGGAGCAAAGGATTGTGGATTTGGAGACAGGTGGGGTCTCCGGAGGTCACCTTGTCCAACCGTTTCATTTTGCAGATGAGAAAATTGAGGCTCAGAGAGGGATGGAGAATTGATCAAGGTTACACAGGTAGCAGTGGGGAAGGCTGGATTTAGCACCTCTAATTCCTCTGATTACAAAGTTAGTGCTGGATTTAAAATCAAGGAAGCTGGGCTCAAGTCCAGACCCTGCTGTGGGACCTTGTGCAAATGAGTTTATGTCTCTGCAACTTGGTGTTTATAGCATTTATATAGCCCTTTAAGGTTTGTTAAGCACTTTACAAATATTTCATTTTATCCTCACAGCAACCCCGACAGGTCAGAGCTATTTTTGTCCCCATTTTACCCACCGATGAGGAAACACAGGCAAACAGAGTTGGGTTTTTTCCCCCTATGGTCACAAAGCTGGTTGGTGTCTGAGACTGCTCAGTTCTTGCTGACTCCAAGTTCATTGCTTAACCCATTGTATCACCCGCTTTCCTTGGCTTCTCCATCTTAAATTACTTGAAAGGGGAGACCTGCGATTTTTTTTCTTTGTGTTCCCATCACCAATCATAATACCTAGCACATGGACAATGCTTAGAAAATGCTTTTTGATTGATTGATCCACAAAATAAAGGTGTTAGACTAAAAGAACTCTATGGTCACTTCCAGCCCTAGAGCCCCTGATGGCTTCTGATCGACTATGTCCTCTCACGTCTTTATAAAGAAGGGGCGGCTATACAATTCCCACCCTTCCTGAACCTACGCTCCTAATCTAGGTCAATGGAAAGGATACCAGGGCAGGTAGAACTGTAGCTTGTGCTCTCACAGTACATTGCCAAAACAAAGAATTTAGAGATGAAATCTCCAAATAGCTAAAAGGGGAAAAATTCTCCCCCAAACCTTTGACTTCTTTTTCTGGATATATCAGCTGATAGCAGAAGATCTCTGAGAACCTAGATCGTTTAGCCTCTGTTTTTGGATACCCAGTGCCTATCATAATGGCTGTTTTACAGTTGACACTTAATAGAATGGATGGATAAATAAATGAAATAACTGTGTAACTGACTACATTTTACATTAACTCATTCTTCCAGAAAGCAGTCTAAATTTCCTATGTCCTCCTAAAATGCCACTGTATGCCACCTGGCTAGCTGGAAGTGTGGGAGATACTGTCTTTGACAGTTTATTTAAGAGCTACAAAATGCTCTTCTCATAATACAGGGACTATAACTAAAGCTGAGCATCACAGAATTGATACTTTTGAATTGTGTCACTAAAAGAGATTTTTGAGAGTCACTTGGACAGCAAGGAGATCAAATCAGTCAATACTTAAAGAAATTAATTCAGGCTGTTCACTGGAAGGTCAAATACTGAAGCTGAAACTTAAATACTTTGGTCATATAATGAGAAAATGGGACTCATGGGAAATGACCCTGGTGTTGGAAAAGATTGAAGGCAAAAAGAAAGGGAATGGTAGAGGCTGCGATGGATAGATAGTGTCATGGAAACAACAACTATGAATTTGGACAGACTTCAAGAGGTGGTGGAGAATAGAAGGGCCTGCCTTTCCCATGGTCCATGAGGTCAGGACTGAATGACAACAACAACAACAAATGTTGCATAGCAGATAGAGTGTTGTTTTGGAGTCCGTCAGGAAGATCTGAATTAAGATCCTGCCTCAGACACTTTCTAGCTGTGTGACACTGAGCAAACCACTTAGCCTTTCTTGGCCTCCATTTCCTCATCTATAAATGGGAATAATATACATAATATAAATACCTACTCCATGTAATTGTTGGGAAGGAAAAAAATAGAAAATATATGTAAAGTACTTTGCAAATCTTAAGATGCTAATCAAATGTTAGTTATTATCATTATTATAGTTCTATGAAATAGGGCCTATAAGGATTATAATCTCCATACAGATAAAGAAACTGAGGTTCAGAAAAAAATGAATTTGCTTGTCCCAGGTCACACAGCTCATATATTCAGAACCTGATACAAGCTCAGATCCCTTACTGATCTACTACATATAGGGCTTCTTACCCCAGGTACGTATTTGGGCAATTATTCCAATATTGTTGTTTTCCTTAGTAATACTATGAAGTTTATTTCATTAATTTAAGAACATTATTCTGAAAAGAGATTTATAGGTTTTGCAGACATGACACAAGTCCATCTTTCTTTCCCTTCATCCTCCCAAGAATCTACGTTTTCAAAGTTTATCAGTAGTTTCTTGTAAAGTTAAACAATTAATGTTTGTAAACCAATTGGAGTTTCTGATCCAAAATGCACAGATGTTATAAGAAAACACAAAAAATAAATTTCTCCAGTGGCAACTCAAGGCAAAGACAAACCTGGAACTTTCCATGAGAGAGAGTCTATATTCTGATGATGGTGAGGAACATTTTAAACATATATGATATAGATATAGATACAAATATAATTTAATTAAAAGTGTATTTGTTTCAACGGAATATTTGATGACACCAGGTGAGTGGACAGAGTGACATCTTTTTTGCACAAAGCTGGCCTTCTTTCACCTTATTATAGTTTTTCTTTGTTTGGTCCAAACTTTTGATTTCATCAGTGTGGAGAAGTCCCAGGATGTAAAGTCCCTCCAACTATAACATCTGCAATTTCTAGACCCAATGAGTTTCCTGGTTCGCTTTAATGACTTGCCTGTCATTACAGAGCAGGTATACTTCGGAGGTAGGCTTTGAACTCATGTCATCTTGCTTCTAAGCCTAACTTTCTATTGACTATGTTTTTCTGTTATCTTAGACTTAGCTTTAATTTTATTCTTTTCATTTGTTAAATTAAAATTTATTGATGGCATACTTTTCTTTAACTTTGACATCAGAATCATTCCCAGACATACCGCTACATACTCTCTGAAAATACCTTCCCTTGTATCAAAGAAAGAAAAAAAAAACAGCTAAGGAAAATCTACAAACATAGTGACATCTGACATTGTAGGCAAACCATAATCCCTCACCACTTGAAGATCATGATCAACCATCCTCCATTTTAGTAAACAGACTCATTAAAGCCCAGGAGCATATTCTTATCATTTGTCCCAAAGATGTATGAAGTCTGCCACATGTCACATATGATAGTAACCCTTTACCAAATATTCCTATGCCAAAAAAAAAACCACTGAAATCTTGATATTTAGATGTCTCCCTTTCCATAAGGGTACAAGGACAAACTTTATGTTTATAAATTTCTATGCAAGATTATCTGCTAATAAGGAGGCATTCTAGTGAACATGGTTTCTTTAACATACCAATTAAATTGAGGCGAGAGTGGTAGTCGAAAGTGTGGATGCCCTGCGAAATGTTGAAGGATGTCTTCTTAATCCACTTCTGCTTGGATTTTTCCCTCCAAGCCAGTACCACTGTGTTCACATGGCTGGTTGTGCTGGAAATTATAGCATCTAAAGAAGCATCATAAATCACTGAGGACACAAAGGGGAGACAAAACCATAAACAGATTTCTCATGAGCTAGCGTAATTATTTCAATCAGGAAGATTTTATTTAATTTTTTTTTATCTAAAGAATTTAGATTTTAAATCAGCCTCCAAGAGAGAAGCCAGACTCAGAGCCGCAATTCGAGCAGGAGCCAAGACTCTGTCCAAGGTGCTAACATGGGTGGTGTTTCCGACCTGCTGAAGACTGAAAAATGCCACCCTCTCCTAGTTCACAAGTTTCACAGGGGTTGTGGGCAAAGGCAGCCCAAGGAAAGAAAGATAGATTATGGTCACAGGCTCATGAAGGGAAGATGGGAAGAGAAGGTAGGATTGGCTGTTCCTCCTAGAATGATTGCATACATTGTTAGGACTGGCCTCCACACATACTACTGAGAAGGGCTTCTCTAAACACTGTCTTCTGAATTCACGGCTGCCTCACTTCAAACTGTCCTCTGGACCCCTAATCCACTTCCCTCAGTCACCAATTTTGCTCCAAATAAAAAAAAAAATTCTAGTTGTTGGTGCATTGGCCTGACAAATAACTTTGACTGAGAAGTCAGAAAAATCTGCAAAAAGATTTGCCCTGCTATGATACCATGAAAGGAAAGTGTTTCCTTTCTGCTCTCTGATTGGAGTATGAGTAACTGGAAAACAGAGAAAATTACTACTTTATTCATTTATTCATTCAGCAAGCAAGCATCAATTTCATGGAGTTTCAAATGGGAAGGAACTTTCAAGATAATTTAATCTAATCCTTTTATTTTACAAATTAGTAATTTAAGGTCCAAAGAGATGAATTGACTGCCCAAGATACCTTGTGTGTTAAAAGGATTAGAATTTGAACCCAGGTCCATTGGATCCAAATCCAGTTTACCTCTTATCAGTTTTTCATATTAAAAATACGTGGTAGGAAGTAACATTAATCATAACGATTACATGGGATTCAAGAGAGAGAAGACAAGTGACTGATTGTATTCTTGGATACTTCCACCCAGAGCAGATGTGACCAAACAAGAGCTCACAAGCCATCTGGTGTGTCCCCCCCCCCCCCCCCGAATGATAAGCTGGTTTAACACGGGTTTGTTAGCTCCAGATTCTTTGGGAAGCTAATGGCCCGGGCTCAGCCAGGTTTCAGAAGTTCAGCCAGAAGCTTGGTCAGAAATGCCTGACTCCAGCTAACACCCAGAAAATGCCAGCTGCCAGTGTCCCAGCTCCATTTGGCCATTTCCACTCCAGGTCAGCTTCTTTTTGAACTCAGGATTCAGAGCCACTAAAAGCCAACCCATCCATCATACCTTTCATTACCAGTTTCAGTCAAACTTCCCCTAGATAGGTTCCTACGAAGAGGATTTCCCTACATTGGCAATGAGCTTCCTAATCTGTCCTTTGAGGCCAAATTCCTCTTCCGATAAAGCAAGATGCACTAATATAATCCAGCTCAGTGCTGTGAATACAAAGATAAAAACCACAAAACAGTCCATGTCTTCAAGGAGCTTACATTCTGTCAAGGGATATAGCTATAAGAGAGACCTCTATTAATATACCACTCGGGTTTTTATATTGCTTAAGTATTATAATCACTGTAAGGCACAGCTCTACCTCCCAAGCCTTATCAATATAGTGATCCTCTTCCTAGCTTCCCTCTCCTCTCCCCCTATGCTCTGCTCAACTCTATCTGCTCCAGATAAAACTCATTTCTAGTTCCAGCTCTAATGGTTGTCCCAATGCTCTAAATACCTCTATTGTTTCATTGACATGGATGTCCCTTCCAATAATGCAGATGAGAGCCCAGTAGCTGAGACAACATGGCATAATGGAAAGGACATATTTTTGTCAGCAGGAAGATCTGAGTTCAAATGCCACTAGACATCCTTTCTCACTGGGTGACCCTGGGAAAATCATTGGACTCTTCTGTGCCTCAGTTTGCCCCACTATGAATGAAGGGGTTGCACTTGATGGCATCTAATATCCCTTCAAAATGTAGATGGTCCACTCATCCACATATTTTACCATTCTTGAACACATCCTCCCAAGTCTGGCACAAGGATCCACACAAAGTTCAGGGCCTTTATTCAAGTTCTCCTCCCAATCCCAGGATACCAATGGAGCACATTGACTCCACTCATTTTATTTTTAAAATAAAGTTAAAAGCAAACAAAAAGCACTGTGGTATAATGAATAGTGGTATCCCAAAAATCCTATATTCAAGGCCTGTTTCTGATATAAACTGACTGTGTGATCCTAGGCAAGTCACTTAACCCCTAAGTGTTGGAGGAAACTCTCTAAGAATAGAAATTACAGAGAGGTTGCCAGCCTATGTTAGTAAAGGGAATTTCCTCATATCAGAATTCCCAGACCAATGAAATCACCCAGGTATTCCACTTGTTGTGTAGTCATTTTTCAGTTATGTCCAACTCTTCATGACCCCATCTGGAGTTTTCTTGGCAGAGATACTGGAGTGGTTTGCCATCTTCTTCTCCAGCTCATTTTACAGATGTGGAAATGGAGGCAAACATAGTTAAGTGACTTGCCCAGAGTCACACAGCCAGTGTCTGAGGCTGAATTTAAACTCAGGAAACCGGTGTCCTATCCACTGCACCACCTAGTTTCCTGGGTGTAGCCCCTATCTCTACCCTAAAGATAAAAATGCTTTAGCCTTTACCATCCAGCTCTTTATCAGTGAGTACACCAATAGTGGAACCACCTCATCCCAAATCAAGGCACCCTGCAAATCCCAACCATTCAAAGCTGGGCTCAAGGAAGACCCCACCCCACAATCACCCATGTGTTGACAAAAGTTCAGCATTTTGGTCTCTCAGAGGATGAAGCCAACTATTGCAACTGACTCAGGAAATAGAACAACAATGTGTTGTTCTCAGCCATATCATTATCACTCCACATCTGTGGAAATGCCATCATGTCATTATGGCCCAATCCAGACAAGACATCGCCATTCAAGCGGTTACTCTGTGATGTGTTCCTGCTTTAAAATCTGCTATAATCCACGCTCATGAAGCCATCAGGGAAAGCTATGGAAAGTGAGTCCTAGATGACAACTCAAAGCAGGCCATGGAGATGAGGAGCTGCAGGTATCCCAGTACATTTGAGAGGATGCCAGGCTGCGGCAGGGGCTCAACCTTTTTGATAGATTTTTCTTTTCCTGAGCTAAAACTTGTAATTTATTAAATTATGGTGTGTCTGGATCCCCTGAGGCTGTCCAGCTAAAAAGGTGACTATAATGCCATTTCCTTAAAATCAAATTATCTGATACACAAAACTGTTTGCTTAACTTCTTAAAGATAAGGAAGCAGAACCAAAGGTTAAGCATGCAAATGCCTTAAAGATAAATCCACAAGCAGTAGCAACAACAATGATTCATGTATAGTCAGAGCTCCTTGCATATATTATCTTGCTTTCTCACAGCCATCCAGTTAGGAAAGTACCTCAGGGAACATTATCATTCCCATTTGACAGATTAGGTCACTGAGGTTCAGAAAAGTTAATGCTAGAAGGACCAGGTATGACAATTGATAGAAAAAAAATTCTAATTTTACTTGGAAGGAAAAATTGTCATTCTATCTACATTTACCTTCCAGATTTAAAAAAATGCACTGTGGTCAAATGTCACAGCTTGGTCCTTAGAGATATTCTTAAATTCTGGTTCTTCTATTAAAAGGCTTTAATGGGGTCACAAAGGCTAAAAAGCATTAGGGGCAGGATTTGAACACAGTCTTCCTGGCTCCTAGTCCAGTGTCCTTAAGATCATACAGTAGATTCATAGATTTAGAGCTAGAAGCAATCTTAGAGGTCATTTAATCCAAATTCTTCATTTTACAGATGAAGAAACCGAGACTCTGAGAGAGTAAAGTAACTTGACGAGGAATATAACAGCTAATGAGCATTGGAGGCAGAATTTGAATCCAGGTTTTCCTGACTCATAGTCTAGTATCCATCAGATACCAGATAAACTAATGAATTTAGTGCTGTACCAGATCTTGGAGGACATCCAGCCCAACCCTCTTATTTTACAGATGAGGAAACTGAAATCCAAAGAGATTTAGTTCACATTGATAGTAAATGATCGATTCAGGATTTGAACCCAAATCTTTGAACAAGCTCCTAATCTGAGACTTTACATATTTTGCGACTCTGTCTCTTAAACATGTGAAAAGAAACAAATGCTAAGTTTAGGAGATTTTTTTTTCCAGATTTTTCCATTAACAAGATCCCATATTTAGACCTAGAAGTGACCTTAAAGGTCATCTACTCCAACACCTCTCATTTGGCTGCTGGGAAACCGGATTTCAGAGAAGTCAAGTGACTTATGCAAAATCCCCCAATGAGTCAATGGATGACTAACCCAAGCAATGATTTTAGGATCATAGTTTAAGGGGAGTGGTGATTGCAAGTTGATCTTGTGCCTGGCCAAGTCAAGTCAGCAAGCATTTATTAAGTACCTACTGTGTGTCAGACACTGGTCACTGGAGTTCTAGCATCATTTTGGTTTTGATTCTTTTACTCACTTGGGGTGTGACTATTTGAAGAAAAAAATGGAAGGAAGAAAAACTACGTGTAATTTCTCAGTTTTTTCTGGTGTCCTGGGAGAACTGTAATACCTACTCATCTAACTCAGTGTTACGGCAATTAGTTATCTTTAAAAAGCTTTCTGAAGATGAAAAGTGCTATCTAAAAAGGAAGCATTGTTATTAAGTGCACTTACAGAAAAAGAGAGCAAGACAATCCCCACTGAGAAATCCTAAACCACCCCCTAGAAACTGTAGGGGAGGCAGGAAAAAGAGTGGGCCATCTGTAATCTAACCACCCAGGCGTGTTTTTTGGTTGGGATTTTTTTTAAACCGATTTTCTTACTTTCTAGGTGGGGGAGGGAAAAGGTTGCATCTTGTTATTTAGAAAAAAACAAAAAAAATCCCATTGCCTTGAGCTTCCCTTGATGCTCTTTCACTTGAGGGATCTTATTCCCCAACTT